CGCAGGCACCCCGCTATCTCCCTCTCTGTCATTCTCGCGCTCGTACACTCTCGACTCGTCGACGGTCGCCAGGGATGGAATACAACCCCCACTTTCGCCACTGCCGCCGAACAACCACCCTGCCACCGCTGCCTGCCACGGTGCCCGACGACGAGTGACTGAGTCCTCCGATTATTATCTCATTTGCTGGCACGAGCACCACGCCACGTTACCGTCGCCCACCAGGATCCCCGTGTAGATCCTTGCTTCCGTGGATCACCGAGAAGAACCACCCCGGAAACCATCAACCTGTCGCCTCGTGTACAGGTGAGTCGAACTCGATCTGATTTCCAACCTGCTTTTTTTTTTATTTCGTTTATTACCTCGATCTTTTTTTTTTTTTTTGATTTTATCCATCGTTGTTCCGTGATATTTTTACCCCTTTTGTTTATCCCTTCAGTGACCTTCTCTTTTGGTCCCTCTCGGCAGACGAGAGAATATCTGATATGAGATCGTTGAATGTATGAAAATTGATGTTCTTTTTTTTTTTCTTCTTTTTTTGGGAAACGGGGGTGTTGGAATCTGTTGGTGTTCATTATCTTGAGACGATGATTCGACGAATGTTTGTTTGATTGTAAGGGTTTCGAACGATGGAGAGAATTACACGTGGGGAAATTTGATTTGTTGCGGGTGGATTGCCGTGTCGATTATCGTTGGAAAATGAAGTGGCAGGCCACGAAAGATCGATTATTTACGATAATTTATTTTGTTTATATACTCGGAATTACATCGTGAAGTGGAAATAGATCCGTGTCGAATCCGATGTTGTTCGCTTTTTCATCGATTATATCCAATGAATTCAATCTAATTTATATCGATACAACGATCGAATAATAGGATGAATGAAGGGGGAGGGGAAAAAAAGAAACGATAATGGATATAAGAGGATCAATTGAAAATTAGTATGTAACGCGAGTATGTTGCGAGTATCGTGTGTCTCCAGTAATAATTCATCGTGCAATCCTAGATTGGTCCCTACACCCCGCTTTGAACGCGCGTGTTTTCCTCTGTGCGATAATACCGATTATGTGTCCATCATATCGTCTGTTCGATTAAATGAAGATGATGAAGATCAGTTTACCACAACTTTACGTACAATAAATGAAAATAATAATACGAATTTTACTGTAATCGATCTAAAAAAAAAAAAAAAAGAAAAGAGAAGAGGATTATAGAAATTTGATTACCGTTTATTTAACCGGTTAATAAATTAAATAAAAGTTAATCAAAAAAGTACATAGATATTAAAATTCTTTTTACGTACGCGTGAATTATCTCACAAAATTTCTATCTATAAGATTCGAAAAGATCATTTTCTTTTCTTAACGCAATGATTTTTCAAACACATTGATTTGATATACAACAAATCATAATTGCCTAATGCATTTCGAAGTGCAACAATGTTAAGAGTTTCGAAAAAGATTTGATACGAAGACCCTCTATCTTCTTCCACCAATAATTTCTCACCGCAAGAATCTCGACTTGCATCTCATCCAACCAATTAATCCTCCCTTTCTTCCGTAATCTTTCGCGGTTATCGATTGTACCGCAATTTGTGCACCCTCGAAAGCATTCAAATCCCCTGGCCGTTCCTTTAAACCACGATACGCCATCGCTGCTAATCTTAAGCGCTAACGAAAGAGTTCGTATCGATGCGCCTGGTTTTATTTATCGTCGGTATATATATACACATCCGATCCTCCGTGTTTCGTTATCTTTCATCCGCGTTTTCCTTCCTTTTTTTTTCTTTTCCCTCTTTTTCCCCTTCCCCCTCTTTATTTTTACGAGCATATACAGAGGAATTACGCAGAGAGAGAGAGAGAGAGAGAGAGAG